TCACCTCTAAAGTGACATTTTCAGGCGGTTGCTTAAATAAATTCAGTGCAATATGGCTATTATATTAAACTCCAATATAAACACTGAGATCTTATGTAAACAGAAATAAATCAATAGATTACTGCATTTTTCTCGAGAAACTCCCCAGAAACACAAGCCCATTTTGGCACTGTGGCCTGCAGATTTTAGGGGCTGAGGAGGTTGAAGGCGCTGGAGTTAAGTCCATGACTACAAACCCCTGGGTTATTGCTCTTTCAGCTGTCTCCACCTATAAGGCTAGATGAGGACAATGTGCACCCGTGCCAGAGAGAAAAGATTAAGCAGCAACTGCAGCAAGAGAGTGTTTTTCCATCCAGCAGCCCTGAATGGATGACATGCACATGACCCAGTCTGCTGCAGGAGCTCCAGGGGAGGTGGTGTGATCCCCTGCAAGGAGCAGGTTGTTGAATCCCATCCAGCCATGAGCACAATGTGCTCATCTGCCATGGGCAGAGGGGTTTAGACAACTCACCCAGAGAGCTCTGCCTGAGTCATGGCAGCTCTATACCCACACATGTTTTTCCTTTGCCTTATTCTGCACCGTGATGCCCAGAAGTCAGATGCTCTCCAAGGCACTCTGTTTGTATTTAGTGATTTCCCTATTTCACTTTGTTTTGAAGTTTTAAATTGCCAAAGGCTTGGAGTTGGAATGTTCCTCCTATTAGCCATTAAACCCAAAAAATATTTACTGCCATTGCCAGGTAGGAAACTTCTTCTGGATGTAGTAGGCAAGAAATACGATTTTCAGTTTGAAATGGAATCAAAGCATCAAGAAGTCTTGACTGGTGCAGTTATTTCTGGATTTTTTAGCATTAACCACCACACCATCCCCTCCCACCTCTGACAGCAGTGAGCAAGCTTGGCAGTGCACACCAGCTCTGTCCTGGCCATCTCCTGCTCCTCCTTCCCTTCCCGTGGCAGGAACATCAAAGCTCCAGCCTGGCCTCGGCCCCTCATTGAGTTTTCCAGGCAAGGCTCACTAGTTTGTAACCAACCCCGTGCTGCTGCCTAAAGAGAAAATTTAAAGCCACAACCACCAGTCTAGACTGCCTGAAATCTCTTCCCCAGATCCTGGGGCTAGTTAAGCACCCTGCCAGTTCTGGGAGAGCTGGAAAGAGAGCTCAGCTCCTCTGCCTTACTTTGGTGAGTAGTTGCAGACCAGGTAGACAGCATTCTCCCAGATTTCTCCCCAGACGTTCATCTGCTTGCAGACGTTCACAGCACAGCCAATCTTGTTGGTCGTGGCCCAAACTATCTGCAAGGGCAGTGCAGTTATTGGAATGATGTAAACGAGCCCAATCTAGACACAGGTAGCTGTGAGAGCTGGGACACAGGGGGATGTGGAGAGTGTGGGTACAAACCCCATGGTCTCCTTTACCTGGGTGTAGTGTGTGCACATAGAGCCTGTACACCTGTCTGGGCACAACGGGTTGCACTCATGAGGATATGGGAATGTGTAATCTTTAACTTCATCATACCAAGACTGGACATGGAAAGCTGGAGATCGATACCTGAAAGAGAAAAGGCATTTTAAATCACAAAGTTCTGGGAGAAAGTTTTGAATTTTTAAAAAAAACACATTGAAAATGTCAAAGATTATTGATTAGATTTTAGATATAGATTAGATAGTAGGAAGAAATTCTTCGCTGTGAGGGTGGTGAGGCACTGGCACAGGTTGCCCAGAGAAGCTGTGGCTGCCTCATCCCTGGAAGTGTTCAAGGCCAGGCTAGATGGGACTTGGAGCAACATGGGCTAGTGGAAAGTGTCCCTACCCATGGCAGGGTAGTTGGAACTGGATGATCTTTTCAGTTCTTCCAACAACTGTTCTGTGTTTCTATGATTTTTTTTCTTAGATTCACAGCCTGAACCTGACTCCATATTATTTATAGGTTTGACATACTCCTCAAGTGCCACTGCCCTGAAATGCCCTCCTCACTTTTCCACACAACTACAAAAACCTTCTAGTTTGGTGGAAAGTTGCATTTTCAAAGTAAACACAAGTTAGGGTTTGCCAAACATCTTAAACCAAAAGCCATCGTGTACCTATTTTACCACTGGACAATTTGCTAAATCTGGAAGGACACTCACTGTTCATACTGTAAGACTTCGAAAGTGAGTGGCCTTTTCGACACTCACACCCCACCAGGAGTTGGTACAGAGCACTTGGTGCACTATACCCTTATCCCCCCTTTTATTGCAGCAACTTCCCCCTGCACCAAGTCCTCTGTATACTGCATGTACTTTGTGCAATCTATGTCCCACAGCCTGTGGCAGCACTACTTGTGCTGTTTGGGAGCACAAATGGTATTAAAATGACCTGGAGAAACTCACGTAGGCCTATGAGGACAGGCTGAAGAAGTTGGGGCTATTCAGCCTGGAGAAGAGAAGGTTGTGTGGAGACCTCAGAGCACCTGCCAGGATCTGAAGGGGCTCCAGGGAAGATGCAGAGGGACTCTTGGTTATCATAGAAACACAAAATCATAGAATTTAAGGGTTGGAATGGACTTTACAGATCATCTAGTCCCAATCCCCTTCCATGGGCAGGGACACCTCCTCACCAGATCAGGCTGCTGAAGGCTTGGGGCAGCTACCATGTCCCTAGGCAACCTGTTCCAATGTATCACCACCCTTATAGTAAAAAACTTTTTTCTAATCTCCAACCTAAACTTTCCCTCCTTCAGTCTGAATCCATTACCCCTTGCCCAATCACTGCAGTTCTTAACAAAGAGTCCCTCTCCAACTCCCTTGTAGGCCCTTCAGATATTGGTTAGGTTACAGATTGGTTAGGAGCAGCAGTGACAGGACAAGGAGTAATGGGGAGAAACTGCTGCCCCAGCCCTGGCAGTGTTCAAAGCCAGGTTGGATGAGCATTGAGCAGCCTGTTCTGGTGGGAGGTGTCCCTGCCCAGGGCAGGGGGTTGGCACTAGATGATCTCGAAGCTCCATTCCAACCCCTAAAATCCTACGATTCTCTGTATTTTACACACTACATGCACAGTGAGCAAACAGAGTGATCTGCAAAGTGTACCAAACCCACTGCTTTTTACTGCTTTCAACAGCTCACATGAAACAAGCAGCCAGCAAGCCAAATGATATCATTACCAACTGCAGCTTATTCTTTCAGCCAGCTCTTCATTAAAAATCATTCATTAGAAGCATTTTAAAAACATCCAATCTCCTGATGTCATCAAGTGAATAACTTTCTGAGTCCTATTTTACAGGAGAGGAAATTGAGGCCATCAAGTTATGGCCTGTTGCTGAAAAAGCTGAGATAACTCTGATTTCTCTTTCCTCTCAGTGACTGCAAAGGGAGCAAGGCTGGATCTACCTCCATCAGGATCCCATGGCCATCTTGAACTCTTGTAGGAGAGCCAAGAACAGCACAATCTTTGGACTTTGTTTCCAATGGATTAACCACTTTACTTTCCAATCATTACTTAATTCTGCCAGCAAAATTGGGCCAAATTTTTATACCAGGCTAATTTCACATCAGCAAATTTCCATTGCTTTCCATCAAGTTCCACCTGATTTAGAACAAACATATCTGCATTTCCACCCAGGAAATGGGTCAAAAACAGAGCTCTTGAGCAAGGGTAGAATGTTTGCTGTGCAAAGCAGGTTTGGCCTATAACAGGCTTAACAACAGGGACTTAAACAAATTTCACCATGAGATGGAGAGGCAAATCCACTTGGAAGCCTTAACGTCAGCTTTCCTAACTGGGATAAGAACTCTAGTTTAAAAACTTGCCCCAGGAAGTTGAAGAAATTACTGTGACGTGTTTTCAGTAAAGAGAATTTAGGAGTTGGATAAATATTTAGGGGAAATACAGCAAGAGATAATTAAATTCTGAACTAGCAGCTGAATCCAGACATTGCTCCTGAGAAACTTCAGTTTTCAGCTGGTTCTCCACATGATGCCACAACTACTCCTGAAACAGCAGATTTAGGAGCAAGGGTTAAGACTTCTGTAGCTGATCTCCTTAAGAAATAGGAGTGACCCTAAGCATGTTAGAGCTGCATTACCCAAAGACACAGATGGATGGAGGAGCCCACATCAATGCTGCTTTGCTGGGAACAATCAGCTGCAGGTGGCTGCAGGCATTATCCTGATAACCATCCACTGAGGCAACCAAAATGGTCCTCAGCTCTTCTTGCCTCTCCCCAGTGCTCTATCAAAGCATCCAAGCAAACCTTTCCAACTATCTCCAATGAATAATCCATAAATTGCTCTTTGCAATGAGCTTGTAGCATCCCAACTCTTACCTGCCCCAGTGAACAGCCAAGTTCTGCCCAATGGACCTGATGAGGTCACGGGGCCCGTGGTCCCAGATGCACTGTTCAGCCCAAGCATGTGCTGATCTTTCCAGCTCATCATCCCAAGTCTTCAGGGTGGGGGAGAAAAAAGAACAGGTCAGTTCATCATCTCAGTCTTATTAGATCAAGAGACTCAACCAACAGCAGTTAGTAGAGAAAGGCTAAATTACAGCTCATCCCTGGTGTCTAGGTGAAGTCAGCATATTTCAACCATGTGCCCCAACCTAAAATCAGGTTCCTCAAGATGTTCTCCTGCCATGAAAGTACAGGGCACTAAAGGGCCTATGATTTTCCCTGCTTAATGCCATGTTTCTTAGGAGATTTATTGCACAGATCAGCAGAAAGCACACCTAAGGAGACCTCAAGAACCCATCTAGACCATCCACCCTAAAGCACAAGATGTTCTTGTCAACTGGTTTTCTAATATGTTGAAATAATTAGATGTCAAGGATGGAGATCTTCCTCAAGACACCTGTTTCTGGTGAAATAGGTGTCATGAGGATGACATGGCAGATGTTATCATTCTGGGTGGAGGACTTCGTCATGACACCTATTTCTGACACCTGAAAGAGTTCTACCATGCAGTCAGTGCTTTGATGTAGTCCAGCATGATTGTCCATCCACTGTCCATACTATCTGGATATCTCCAGGCTTTCCCATCAAGGGGAACTACAACACTGGATGTACTTCTGCCCTTCACTACCACACAGTTGGAGATCTTTGGCCCAACCTCTGAATCAAAGAGTGTGGGTCTGAGTCTCCTGGTCCCATCTTCCCTTCTCCTTCCAGAATAACTGCTGAGTCCACCAGTGGATCCAGCCAAATGCATCAGAGGTGGCAAAGTCCCAGAGCTGTTAACCTCATCTCACTCTCACTGAAACAGGCAGCAAGTTAGAAGTGACAATTCCCATTTATGTTGCCACTGAGGGAAGGACATTGGTGTGAGATCACTCCTCATCAAATATCCCCCAGCTGTAAGCCAAAGGAGAGCTCAAACATGACACAAAGGCAAACAGGAAAACAGCTTCGCTGGCTCTGCTGTCCAGGAGTGTATTTGCTGTAAAGGCCAGACTTGCTGGGCCCAGCAGCCACTGCCCTGAATTCATTGTGTAATTGCTGCCAGCTGCTCTATTCACAACAGCCCTTAGAGGATAATTCCTTGGGATTAAAATATTACTGCACATTCCTACAAATAAGACCAAAGAGAAGAGAGGCCTTGTAATGTGTCTCCAGCCCATTCACGTGCCAGCACAAGATTGTTCTCTTTGGACATTTACCATCGCAACCAGCTACTCTTTCCAAGTCCTGTTTTCTCCAAAGAAAAGCAACTTCTGATCTCAAACATATCAAAGGACCTGTCAGAGCCCATTTGGAGGGCTGCAGGGCACTCAGACTCCCAAACACATTTAAAAACCATCAAGTACTCATTCCAAGGAAGTATCTGGACACAGTCTCAGACAGTTAGAGCTGGGATGGGGAAGCACTGAGCACCCCTGGATAAGAAGACAGTAAAACAAACGCAGTGTCTCCTGGAGCTTGGTGTGCTTACACTATCTCTGCAAGGCAAACATGAGCTCATCTCACTGAGCTCACAGCCCAGGCCTCCCAGAACAGCTTATCATTAAGCATGCTCAGCAGCCCAGATTCCAACAACACCCCAGTGCTGCCCTGAGCTCATCAGTTTGGCTTTGGGCTGACCAGTGACCAAGCAAATTCATGTCAGTCTGCAAAACTCCCTGAGGACACAGTTCTGACACAGGGAATAAAACCATTTTCCATCTCAGCCCTCCAACTCCTTGAAGGTGATGGGATTGGACCCACCACACACATTCCCAACCCTCTGTTCAAGAAGACTATTGCAACTGTGCTGAGACACACAGCTTTTGTGGTCTCCCACTTGGTGCACTCGGCAATGAGCAGCCCAATCCTCCTTCCCATCCAACACAAAAGCCACAGAAACTCTCCCAAGATATTCTGCACTGCTAGTTTCTCAAACTTTCTAGCACAGCTTTATTCCCTGCAGCCTGCAAAGATGTTCCAAGTCTCCTAATTTCATGCAGAGATGTTGTGAGCAATAGGCCATTAAATGGAAATTAATGCCAGTAGATGTGTTTTATCTCCCTTTGGTGCCTGTGGATAAAAGAAAGGAACTTGGACAAAAGATACTCAACAGGTAATTGGGAACAAGCTACATCTTTGCAGGGCTTTGTGCTAGATGACTAGAGAAGCTGAGGAAAGAGTAGAGAAGCTAATTTCTGCAGGGATCAGATTACAAAGCCATCCCATTGAAATCACAGCAGCTATTTGCCTCTTGCTTCTCAGACACGAATGTGGTCAGGAGGCTGGAATTAGTTCAGAGCAATAAACAGAGGAAAAAAGAGATTTCAGACTTCCCCAGCTATGCTTGCAAGAATTCGTTATGCCAATATTCAAGGCAGTATCTAGGAAACCTGCTGAAGGCAGAGGGGCAGAGTTTGCCTGTGCTCTGTTTCCTGCTCAAGCAAAGATTGAGAAGCTTTTAGGATTGTGTGATTCCAAGTGATTTAGCACAAGGACTCTCTTTTTCACTCCCACAAATTCAAAGGAGACTATACACTGAATATGTAAAATATATGCATGGCAAACACACATTATACTACAACTGGTAGGTTCAGATTTAATAAGAATTCATCCCTCAAGGAGTCTACTCACTCAGCCTAATGAGTTTGTAAACCCAAGGCCAGACACCTGAATTGCAGTGATCAGGTTACTCACTCATTTTCCTCCCCAGCTTAGACTTTCTGCAATACTGGCAGTTTACTTTGAAAAGTGGCATGAAACTGCAGGGCTGACATGTCCTGGCAGAGGCCTGGATAGGCTTTGCTATCCCCCACAGAAATCCTATCCCGTCCTGACAGGGAAAGTCACCACCCTACAGTTGAGAGGAAGGATGCATACCTTATACATGAAAACAAACTATTTTCCTTCCAGCAATCTGCTCTGAGAACAATTTTGCTTTCTCCAGCTGTCTCTGAGGCTGCCACAAGAGGAAAGATTTCTGCCTTTCATCACTGCTGAAAGCCATCTGACTAAGCCATCTTAAAAGGTCATGATGCCTTAGGAACTAATATGTCCTTTTTACTCCAGGTCCATTATGTCCTTTTTACTCTGGGCCCATTAAGAAGGAGTTTGTTTTGGTCTTGGCTCACGTCCACTGCTGTTATGAAGTCCAAACATACAGTGGAAATGTCAATCATTGAGCTGTTAGAGGTTAAGGTAATTCTGTACTGGCCCAAATTCGTCAGGAAGTTGTTCACTGCTCACTCATTTTCCATTAACACTGACTCTCTGTGCCAACTTTCAATTAATTACACAAATCCAGCAACAAAACCATTATTCTTCATTTTTTTTCAGCCCACTTTATACCTTTATCCCTTTATGTATATAAATCCTTTGATCTCCAGCTAAGTCACAGTACTCACTGTGTTCCTGCCTTCTTATTAAGGGTGTCCAACAACTCAAGTTCATCCTGTAGCAGATAAATATGTCCCTTTCCTGGAATAGATTAGCTCCCATTGCCATTTCAGACCACTTAAATCCATCAGATATGGAGCTGGGGGAAAGGACTTTCACCAGGGAGTGTTTGGAGGTTGATGGACAAGCACAAGCTCTACTTAGTTATCCAGAAATGATCACTGCACATCACTGGTGATGCTCCACACTGGCACCAAAGAGAAAGAGAGAAGTTCATCTATGGTATTAAAGACAGAGCATCCTCTTAAATGAGTCCAAATGAGAAATGTCCTATGCAGGACAAAGGATTAAAGAGAAATTCCCACTCAGCATATCCACAGCATTTCCAAGTCCTACTGGGTAAACACAAACACATGAAAGGCTGATTATAGCCTTTCCAAGTAGCACCGTCTTACACTCAGCTCCCTTCTGCAGAGCACACAAGGCCCTTTCATTTGCCCTCAATCCCCCAGAAAAGCCACTAGAAAAGCTGAGTGAGCAAAGGCAAACAGAGAGGTGTAACCGCGCCGCGAGCGCAAACAGTGGGCAGGCAGTGGACAGGCCACAGAGGCAATGCTCTGCCAGCCCCAAAGCCAACCAAAACACCTTGGCTTTGCTCATGCTTTGTGTTTACTCTCTGGAAATCAATCAAGTTGCCTCTTCTGGCTGTACTTCCCTGCAGGATAACGTGAGAGCAGCTGAGAAGGAGATACAATCGTGTTCTTAGAAAGGCACGCGATTCCTGACAGGAGCAGGTCCAAAGACCAGTGGGGTGAGTGCTGTGGGGTCCTTCCTCACTGTCCTCTGCCCTCCCTTCTTTGTTCCTTCTCCCTACAGCCACAAAAAGCAGGATTTTCCATTTGCAGCCCTCGTTTCAGCACAGCTGGCAAAAAATTTTGTATTACATTGAAGTGTACTTTGCTTTTACCCTGTTAAAAATGGTCTTAATAAATCATTCCTCGTTTGCTCCCTCAGCAGGAGTGAACAGTTGAAGTCGGACCAGTTTGGATCCCTCAGCAAGACTGCACAGTTGAAGTTAGACTACTTTTGGTCAGAACTATATTTGCACATTGGGAAAAGGCACATGCAAAATCATTATTTGCCGACATCATTTTGTGGCCCTGTAATATTTTGATGGCACAGCAAAAATAGCTCAAAGGAGGGTCTCTGGCAGCAGGTGAAACAAAACTATTCATGTGAATTGTTGCTGGCAAAGGCATATTTCATCCTCAAACTTTGCAGCTCTCCCTCTGAAGTGGGAGAATACATTCGACAAACTTTTAGTTTGGTTTCCTGAACTGCGAAAAGCCAACAGCACTGACCTATCCACCCATCAACTCCCCAAGTCTTTCCAGCTATTTCCAGTGACTGAAATTCTTTGCAGATGGAGCCACATTCCTCCTGTTTCTCTATGATCCTAAGCAGATTCCCAGCAGCATCCCACCACAGGTGCTTGGTTCACATTGATAAGCTCAGTTGATCAGTGACAAGAAGGCAGATGCCACCTCCAATATTTGGTGGCAACTGATGGCAAAGACCATCAGAAGCTTCTCTGAGCAGGCTGTGGTGTCCCAAAACACCAGTCACAACAGCCTGAAAGCTTTCACAGGGAGAAAGTGGGTTAAACACCAGGGAAAATGTGATACTTTTATGACATTAAGGTAATGGAAGAACCTGCTGAGGCAAGCTGTGGAATTGCCATCACTGGAGATGCATCCAGGGCTGGGCCAGACACTCGTTTATGAATAATGGAACTAGTCCTGAAACTATGCAGTGGATGGACTTGACGACCCGCTAGAAGCCCTTTCCAACCAAAACAGTTCAATGATCTAAAGCATCATTCACTCTGGAATGAAACTGCTTCAGGACACCTCTTGAGAAAAACTTAGTTCAGAGGAAATTTGCTACACCTCTCTGCACCACAAGGAAAATCAAAATATAGTTGAAAAAAAAACCAGAAAGGAGCAATAAAGTGAAGTATCAGACACTAGACTCACCATATATTCCATATTAGAGGCGACTGGGTACACTTGACCTCTCAATTTATTGTGGAGCATCAATATCTCCTGCCTGTCTGAGAATAAAATGGCTCTCTTGGATCTGGAGTGAGCTTCCCCATCCTGGTATTTACTCAGGATGCTCTCCAGGTGACTCGAGTTGGGCAAGATAAAGCATTCAGCTGCCTTTGTCAGGAGCAGTACACATCCAAGAGGAAGGATCCAAGGCAGGGCAGGATTCATGCTGTCTCCTCTACAGCCAGCAGAAGCAGAGATGAAGATGACAGCAGGTTTTCTTGCCAGGACTCTTGTGGCTCAACGCAGTTCTGGAATTTGAGGAGGAACAGGCAGTCAGAGCAGTGCCAGAGAAGCTCTCAGTGCATTACTGCCCCCAACAGTGAGGCCACACAACACATTTTTGTGCTTGGAAAAGAGCAGTGCCTACAGTCTAAGCAATTATCATTCACTCCAATGACAGGGAAGACCTGAACAACATCATATGGGGAGAAATTGAAAGAGGGATAATTTAGGTTAGATATTAGGAAGAAGTTTTCCCTGTGAGGGTGGTGAGACACTGGCACAGGTTGCCCAGGGAGGCTGTGGCTGCCCCAACCCTGACAGTGTTCAAAGCCAGGTTGGCTAAAGCCTTGAGCAACCTGGTGTGGTGGGAGGTGTCCCTGCCCAGGGCAGGGGATTGGGACTGGATGATCTCTAAGGTCTATTCCAACCCCTTAACATACTATGACAAGTGATGGGAACTCAGTTAATTACACCAGGAACTCCACTGATGCTGTGCTGGGAGTGAGCATCACCCAGGCACAGCAGAGCGTGTCTTCTGCACCCCTGGCACCCTCTGCCACCCTGCAATGCTCAGCAGCTCTGAACAATCCCAGCTCCATCCCTTCACAGGCAAGAAGGGGATACAATTGAAGCTATTCCCCAAAGAGCAGCTCTTAAAGTGGAGAACAGATATGAACAAAAGGGAAAGTAATATTCCCAGCAAGCCATATCACAGAGCTCAGGCATCAGCAAGAGCTATTTTGGAGGTCCCACTGTGCCCATAGGCTCCAGCAGAGCAGCTGCCAGGCCCTGTGAAAGCTGCTGTTTATGGGAAATGTCACTGTAACGTGGAACAACCCAAATCCCTCCTGGGCAGTGACGCACTGGGGGGTTCTCGCTGACGCATCGCTTTACGGCGCGGGAGCGTGGCCAGAATGTGAGTTATGGCAGCTCAGGATGGGAGCCAGAGCACCAGCCCTCCCTCAGCCACAAGATTAGGTGTTCCCATGCACACTCAGTAGCTGTCAGTACTGAGGGTTCAGAGAGATGCACTCAGTTTGGTCAGGTTTGAAGCACTTTGTTTAATCCCTCTTGCTCCACAGTGCTCCTGCTCCACCTGTCATTCCCAAACTCTTCCCCCTCTGCTCTGACTTCTCTATCTAACAATTCCTGTGTGTCTTGGCTGGGTTTATTTAGACCAGGAGCTGTTCAGGGAAGGCAGTATGTGCTGCTGCAGGGCTCTGCAGCACACACTGCTCTTTAATGGGATCTAAGAGCTACCGGAGCAGGATCAATCCATTGGGGCAAGAAGCATCCATACACACAGCGCAAGCACAGCATCTCCCTCCTCAGGGCTCAGTTTTGGAAGAAACCTTCCCCATCCCTGCCACGAGGTGAGGCTCTGCTTTTGCCAGCACTGCTGAAAGCCATGCTGCAAGCATTCCTCCACAGCAGCAGGAAACAAACCCCAGATTAGCAGGAGTTATTTGAGAAATTTCATCCCAGTGACAAGGGATTTGGCCACACTGAGACCGGATGAGCTGGAACCCAGCCGAGGCAGGGAAGTGCTCTCCAGGTCCCAGCTGGAAAAGCTGCTCTGGAGCACAAAGCTCCAAACCCCTATTCCCCATTCCCAGCACAGCAGTATCTGCAGAGCACAGTGGCAAGCACAAGGTGCTTTTTGCACAGACAAGGACCCCAGAAAGCTCTGAGAACAGTGAGAACCTCCAAGAACTTGTTGGCTGACTACAAAAAAGACACAAAGTCCCTGTTTGAGGCTTCTTTCTTGTACTGAACATTAAGGCAGATGAAAACCATCTGCCCTCAGCCTCTCTCCAGGCAGCACATTAAGTGTGTGCTTGGGTAAAACAATGCAGGATGTAATTTGCACAGTTTAGGTAACAACTTCTCATCATTTCCTGCTCTGCAGAGCAGGCTGCGCACACACTCCTTGTCCCCAGCTCCAGGCACACACGAAAGACATGACATTCAGTGGCATTGGGACAAATATTCCTTTAACCTCATTCTCTGCTCAGCCCTGTTTGTGGCATTTGCTTCCCCCCCAAGCAGAAGCCCAATTTTCTAACCTGGCTATGGAGGGGTAGGGGAAGCAAAAAGAGCTGTTGCTTTCGTAGACTGTCTGACCCAAATTCAGAGAACAATTCCTACTTTGAGGCACTTCCCTAAGAGTTTAAAAATAGCTGCACTGCCATGGCCATTTACAATGTGGCCATTTAGCACCAGCAGCTTCCCCTGCAGCTTGGCCTGGAGGTAGAGTCGGCAGGAACCACTGGATCACAGAGGCTGCTGTTGCACCCTGCCTTTGGCCAGGTGCCCTTTGCTAAACAGGAGCCCATGTCCACCACCCATTTAAGGCAAACACTGAACTTACAGAAAGGGCAGATTGAAAAAATCAGCTGTAACATGTGAGAGCCAGAGGAGCTGCCCTCACTCACGGCTCCGCAGCGAGGCCAACGCGGCTGGTTTCGTGATCCAGCCAAAACCTCACAACAGATGGTGTATTATTCCTTGGGATGTACTTCCCTGGATTCCATTTGCCAGTGAGAGGATACCAGCACCTCTCTAAAATTAGGTCACTTTGGCTCTATCTTGTATTTCACTTGGGGTGTGCAGGTCCCTTTCTCTGCTTTGGCTCGAGGTGGGGAGTGCTGAGCATACAACGGAAGGATGAAGGGATCAGAGCGCGACAGGGAGCAAAGAGCTCCCTGGCCAGATTAATCGAAAGCAGCAGAAAGATGCTCCCATTTCAGATAGCTTTCACTGATTGCAGATGTCCATCCATCTGCCTCTCAATATGCTCTTGCCCAGGTGCAATGGAACACTTGGACACAGCTCAGCCAGATCTGGGGCAATGCCTCCAGGCTGCATCAGGAGCTCCTCATCTGAGCAGGCTGAAATCCTATTGCCTTTGGGCTTTGATATTATTCACAGAAAATTACCAGCTGACAGTCAGCTGAGGAAGTCTGTGCTGTTGATCTCAAGGGTTCAAGAGGAGCACAACCTCCCTTTAAACACATCAGGCCCTTGATACTGATGCCAGGTAAACATCTGGGAGCCATCAGAAATGGCTGAGTCAGCATAAACCAACTCCTTCATATGCTGTAAAGCCTATCCAAAGTGGGGACAAAAGGGAGGCCTTCTTCTGGGGTCTGAGGGAGTTAAAGAGCAGCACCGGACTTTGGAAAAGACTATTTTTAGAAAGCTATTTCCCCAGCTAATGGATACTGTCTGCTCTGCAGGGAGAGCAGGAGAGCTGGTCGCATCTGAAGCCTGGCACACAGTGCTACCAAAGCCACACGCAGGCTGACTCCTGTACTTCAGGATGGCCTCAAGTCACCTTACTCCTTACAGCTAGGGAGCTTGGACTGCCTCCCTGGTAAAGTACACAAGTGGGTTATGGGTGAAATTTGCAGCTAAAACATCCTGGGACCTGTGGAGTTACACATGGCACAAGCTGACAAGGTAGGAAAATGCAGAAGTTAGCTTGGGATACTAGGAAAGCAGCTAAAACAGCAAAGCAGAAGGGAGTTAGCCTGGGATCAGCTTCTAAACTGAGCCTGGGATCAGCCTCTAACCTGAGTTAGCCTGGGATCAGCTTCTAAACTGAGCCTGGGATCAGCTTCTAACCCGAGTTAGCCTGGGATCAGCTTTTAACCTGAGTTAGTCTGGGATCAGCTTCTAACCTGTGCGAAGAAATCCAATGATAAAGCCACACCATACCCAATGCACCAAACCCCATGTCATTTATTTAACTGGGATGCACACATTTCAAGCTCTGAAGAATTGTGGTGGCTTCCAAAGCAAAGCAAGATGACAAGTTCCTTGACACAGGACAACATTGAACACACCAGAGATTCAGCATTTTCAAGGCCATGGGCCAAAACATCTGGTTCTTCCATTAAAATCCACTCCCACAAAACCCAAGTGGGTGAGTTTCTATGGAAAACCACATGGAAAACCCAGTGGTAAGAGACACCACATGTGGTGACCCTGAAATTCTTTTTCTACAGGACTTGAGAGCAGAGTTGCACCAACACAGGCTGCCTGCAGCACATTAGGTGTGCCCAAGGGTATCAGCTCTTAGACACTGCTACAGCATCCCTTGGATATCTTCTGTTTGTGCAGAAATCCACCCCTCTGCTTGCAAACTCCTCCCCATTCATTCAAGATTAATGTTGATTAATCTTGCATTAGCCTCTGCTAAGCACACATAAGGGAAGCTCAGACAGTATTGTGTTATTTTATACCATCCAGGAAACTTTGGGGAGAAGTTACTAAAACTGTGCCTTCTTAAAAGAGTCATTTCTTGCACACAGCCCCCACCAAAACCACATTTCAGAAGCAGGGACCAAAGTTTACACTTACCTTGCTGAGTACTTCCAAATCTCCAGGTAATTGTAGCTTTTCCAAGCCTGCTTGTGGATAATAAATTATATATCTGCAATATTTAAACTAGGAGGAGGGGAAAAGGATGGAATAAGCCTCAGGAGGTGCGAGATGTGCAAGGTCTTGGCTCAGCAACTCGTACCAACTGCAGTCTCACAGAGCTCCCCAGTGGTATTTATGCTCTCCTGGCAGAGAGGACAACCCTGGATCTCTGGATCATCCCGTTTGCCAGCAGGTCTGGAGTAATAACGAAAGGGAGGGGCAGCGAGGGAAGGAGGGGAAAAGAGGCACTGAAAGGAGTGAGGAGCAGAGGTGTCGCTTGGGATCGCACTGGGGCTCAGCAGGGCAGGACCATCCTCCAAAGGCGGTAACGGGAGGGAGAGGAGGAGCAGCAGGAGGAGGAGGAGGAGGAGGAGGATAGCCCCATGATCCTATAAAAGGGTTCGCTGTGCTTTCCCCAGCACTCAGCTCCGGGCAGTGCTCGCAGCCCGGTGGGCTCCGGGGCTATGGAGCATCCTTCCCGCGGAGACAGGACCGCGACGCCTCGGTGAGAGGCT